TCGCTGTGGGGGACATGGAAGGGGAATGGGATTGGCCTGGTTCTGCACCCTTGAGATCCCCTAAAGCTCCAGTTCCCCACCTGGAAGGCAGAAAGCGTAGTCTATTTCATGGGCTGGAAGACTGAATACACTAGCACGTATGGGGTAAGTGCCTACTAAAAGTCCACTGTGCTTATCAGGTCCTGTGGGAGCCTCTGGTGGTCTCAGCCTCCAGGACAAGCCCCTGAGCACCAGCTCCCAGCCCTCTTGCTGCTCTTGGGACTCAAAAGTCAAAGTGGCCCAGGGCAGGGTCCAGCAGTGGGCCTTATCCTCACCTCTCTTTCTTGTTCTCTTGTAGGTGGAGGAGTTCATCCCTGCAGATGAGCCTGGAATGGGCAGTGCAGATCACACATGGACAGGTCAATCCAGACTCCACTATGTGGACTCCCCATAACTGCGGACTCTCTCTCTCTCTCTCTCTCTCTCTGATTTTCTTTTTGTTCATGCTAGAACTCTACCACTTGAGCCACAGCTCCACTTGTGGCTTTTTTTTTCTTGATAACTAATTAGAGATAAGAGTCTCACAAGCCAGACACCGGCAGCCCACACCTGTAATCCTAGCTACTCAGGAGGCTAAAATCTGAGGATCATGGTTTAAAGCCAGCCTGGGCAAGAAAATCCATGAAACTGTTATCTCCAATAAACCACTCAGAAAAAAAATGTGGTGCTGTGGCTTAAGTGGTAGAGTGCTAGCCTTAAGCTGAAGAACTCAGGGATAGTGCCCAGGCCCAGAGTTCAAGCCTTCCCCCCTCTAACACACACACACACACACACACACACACACACACACACACACACACACAGAGTCTCTCACAGATTTTCCTTCTCCAGACTAGCTTCAAATTGTGATCTTCAAAGTTCAGCCTCCTGAGTATCTGGGATTATAGACGGAAGCCTCTGGCTCCCAGCAACCGAGTCTGCTTCTTAAACTGTCTGAACCTTCCTCTGGCTCCCAGCAACCGAGTCTGCTTCTTAAACTGTCTGAACCTTGGTTTCTTTGTAAAGATGGCTAGACTATCAAGGGTGTGTCTAGATTAAGTGAGCTAGTGTTCAGTGCCTAAGTGCTCAGGAAGAATGCACTGTTGCTATTAGAGCAAGAAATTGGCCTCCTTGGTCCCCTGGGCTTACTATCAGGAAGTCCCTGGCTGTGGCTTGAGCTCCAGGATGGGAAGGCGGCCAGCTTACCAGGCTGGGTTAAGGATGGAATTTATGTCAAAGAAATGCTATTTCAATCTATCTTGAAGCTTCATCCACACACATAAATTAGCACAAAAATGAAGCTTGAGGCCCTGCACCCATGGCTGGCAGCCCTGTAAGTGTCCAGCTCTCTTGGAAAGTGGTTCTTGGCTACAGCCCTAAAAAGTCAATAGCATCTGCCCCTAGTAATACCACTCCTGGGAATGGAGCTAAAGAATAATTTAAAGACTTGAAAAGAAAACAACTTTGGGCTTGAAATTCATCCTGCAATGAGCATCTGGAAGGAGAAAGATTAGAAGCAGCGGACATCTCCAGCAACACGAGAGCAGAGGGACGATGGAACCAAGTCCCTCATTAAAACGGCCACTATACTGCTCTATAACAATGGCCACTTGTGGGTGCTGCTGCAGAAAGGAAGAAAATGTTGGGGTTAGGGTGAGGGAAGGGGTGACATTGTCCAAAAAGAAATGTACTTTTTATCTGACTTATGTAACTGTAACTCCTCTGTCCATCACCTTTATAATAACAATAATTTTTTAATGTTGGGGTTAAATGTAATTTTTACCCTAAAATATTTTGACTTTTTTTTTCTTTTCTTTGTCAGTCGTGGGGCTTAGACTTAAGGCCTGGGCACTGTCCCTGAGCTCTTTTTGCTCAAGGCTAGTGCTCTACTAGTGCCACTCCCAGTTTTTTGGTGGTTAATTGGAGGTAAGAGTCTCATAAACTCTGCTGCCCAGAATGGCTTTGAACAATGATCCCCAGATCTCAGCCTCCTAAGTAATAAGGATTACAGGCTTGAGCCACTGGACTTGGGCTTGACTTCTTTTCTATGAGCAACAAAAATAAATAAATGAAGACATAAAAAAAGACCAAACAAGTTGCCAAGTGCTGGTGACTCATGCCTATAATGTTAGCTACCCAGGAGGCTGAGATGTGAGGACCACAGTTCAAAGCCAGCAGGGGCAGGAAAGTCTGTGAGACTCTTATTTCCAATTAACCCCCAGAAAACCAGAAGTGGAGCTGTGGCTCAAAGTGGTAGAGCACTACTAGCCTTGAGCAAGAGAACAAACAATTTCTCATTGACCATCAAATGAAGTTCCTAGTTGAGATCTGCAGGGGGACGTGGCAGCCTGAATCTTCCTCTCTTTATAGTCAGGGGTGGGAGATATAGGAGGGTGACATTCAGAGACAGACAGACAGACATCATCTAGCACAATCAGGGAGAAGGAGGAGTCCAGGTTGGCCCACCGGGGAAGCAGGTAGCACAGGCAAGAGGCTGCCTGGCTCTGGAATGGTGGCTGGAATGGAAGGCTGAGCTTACCCAGGGATTGGGAGAGGAGGGACACAAAGGTGGAGGGTCAGGGGGTCAGGGGGTCAGGGGGGATGAGGGTCCTCTCTACTGATGTCTAGAGATCTGTTGGCAGGAATGGACAGGTCTCAGATGTCTAAGAGGGCCAGCAGGATAAGGACTGAAAAGTCCCATCTGGTTCACCAACTTTGGGGCCACTAACAAGGACAGGGTCAGAGTTATGAGGCAGAGAGAGAAACCCTGAAAACCTGGGAGCTCTTTAGGGTACTGGTCAAGAAGAGAGAGGAGAAATAAGACAGTGACTCTTAGGGTATGTGGGTTCTAGCTGAGACCATTGGTCTGATTGGGCTCCAGATCCCTGCCCAAGAGACTGGGTGTGACCACTGCCAGGCTCAGAGGGCAGACCTGGTAGCCAGCAGCCCCCTGCCTTTTTTTTTCTTATTTCAATCACATGCTGAAAGCTTGAGAAGCCACCAGTTGCCAGTGGCTCACAGCTGTAATCCTAGTTACTGAGATCTGAGGATGGAGGTTCAAAGCCAGCCCAGGCTGAAGGTCTATGACACTCTTTTTTTTTGGGGGGGTCCAGTTGTGGGGTCTCAACTCTGGGCCTGGGCGCTGTCCCTCAGCTCTTCAGCTCAAGGCTAGCGCTCTACCTACTTGAGCCACAGCGCCACTTCTGGCTTTTTTCTTTTTGCTTATGTGGTGCTGAGGGATCCAACCCAGGGCCTCAGGCATGCAAGGCAAGCGCTCTACCACTGAGCCACCTTCCCAGCCCCATCCATGACACTCTTATCTCCAATTAATCTCTAAAAACCTGGAAGTGGAGCTGTGGCTCTGTAGTAGAGTGCCAGCCTTAAGCTAAAAAGACAAGGGAGAATTTGAGGTCCTGAGTTCAAGCCCCAGTACTTGGAAAGCAAATTCGAGAAGGTGTGTGTGGGGAAGCCGGGGCTCCCCAACCTGGAAGGCTGACCCATTGCCAAATGCCAGCTGCCAGGATCCCCCAAGCCTCAGCAGGCTCGGTGGAGGGGAGCACACTCTGCCAAGATCCCCAGGTGCTGGGGACACAGGTCCAGAGCCAGCTCAGCCCTGCCAGCCCCAGCCGTGGGAAGAGCCGTCTGTGCCATCTGGGGTAAGGACAGGCTATAAGCAAGAGGAGACTGACTGAAAACCAAATGATTTTCATGTGAATTGTCTGCTTCCTGAAAGGGGAACTTTTCCCATTCAATCATGTTTTAACAAATTAGAATTTTTACAGCACAATGGTAAAAATAGCCATCTTTGAGACGGGCACCAGTGCTCACACCTGACATGTTAGCAACTCAAGAGGTTGAGATCATGGTTCAAAGCCAGCCCAGGCAGGAAAGTCTGTGAGACTCTTATCTCCAATGACTACCAAAAAGCTAGAAGTGGAGGTGTGATTCAAGTCTTGAGCACAAAAGTTCAGGGAGGGGGCTCACACCCTAAGTTCACAGACCAGCAACAAAAGAAGAAAGAAAAACAAAGCCAACTTTAGGTGTTTTCTTGAGTCCAACCCAAATAAGGCCACAAAGAGGTACTTGCTAATAATGAGCCCATTGTACAGGTGTGTAAACAGACTCCCTGGTCCTGTTGACTCTGAGCTCTTCTTCGATCATCTTCCTGCTCGTGTGGCACCAGCAGACATCACCACCTTCTCCGTGTGCATTTCCTGGGCTGTTTGCCCAAGGACTTAACCAAAGGAGCTGTGGCCTTTCCCTGTGGCTCCCTCACCCCTGGCCTTGTCTGGCCATTCTCAGGAATAACTGAAGAGCAGCAGATGCTCCACAGATCTAATTCCCTTCCTTGTGCTCTAGAAACGGCTCCACAGCTGGGGATGAGCAGTGCCTCTTGGCTGTTTGTCCTGTCTTCTCTGTGCGTCTGACCCATGCTTACTGGGTGGAAGGTGGTCCTGGGACTCCAGAGAGGAAATGACTGGCCCAGGACCACACCAACTGAGCGCTTCCCTGCTGCCCCTGCTGCCCAGCCCCAGGTGTGAGCCAGGGGTGAGAGGAAGTGGGGGTGTGGCTGATTGGGGGTTCTGGAAGGGGATGAACTGAACCCTTAATGAAGTCCCAGGGCCTCCAAGCATTTGGACACATCTGTACTTCAGTCAATCTTCACTACCCGAGGACGCAAGCGTGGAAACTGCGGTTCAGGAAGATGGCTGGGGAGGGAAAGTGGCCAGGGACGGGGGGCCTGGCCGGAGCCCCTTCCATCACGGGGCCAGGCGTTTGGAGCCTGACCCCCGCAGCGAGACGCGGTCCTTCGGTTACACGGACGGATGGACGGAGGGCAGGACTCCCCCCCCCCCCAGAGTTACAGGGATGGACGGGCGGAGGGAAGGACAGATGTCCACCGCTGACCCCAGACCGTGGTCCGGACCCCCCTCCCGTCCCCCGCGGCGCCCCGCCCACCCCGACGGCGGCGCCGCCCTCACCTCGATGCGCTCGATGCGGTCGCGGAGGGCGCGCACGGCGTCCTCCAGCTCCAGGACGAGCGCGGGCGAGTCCCAGGCGCCGTCGGCCATGGTGTCGCGGCGGGGCCCGGCGCCCTGCGGGCCGCCCTCGCAGCGGGCCAGCTTGCCGGTGAGCTCGCGGATGGTGTCGCGGTCGGCGCGGATGCGCGCCTCCTGCTGCAGCGCCGTCTGGCGCAGCTGCTCGGCCGCGCTCTGCAGCAGCAGCAGCTCCTCGCGCTCGGCCGCCGCCGCGCCCCCCGCGCCCGCCGCGCCCGCCGCGGCCCCCGGCTCCGGCCCCGACGACGACGGGCAGGCGGCCGCCAGCGGCGTGCACAGGAAGCGGCTGAAGAGCGGCGCGGGCGGCAGCGGGCGCGCGCTGGCCACCGGCGCCCCGGGCAGCGCCGAGGGCCCGGCCGGGCTCCCGGCTCCGTGCAGCGCGCTCAGGCCGCGCTGCGGGCCCGCGGGCGCCGCCGAGGCGTTGTCGGGGCCCCCGGGCAGCGCCCGCGCGGGCCCGGCCGCCAGGGGCACGCTGGCGATGATGCAGATCACCGCACCGAGGAACGCCAGCATGCCCGCGGCCAGCAGCACCGCCAGGAACTTCAGCGTGAGGCGGGCGGCGGGGGCACCGAGGGCCCCCGGCAGGCGCGGCGACGGGGTCGGGGCGCAGGGGCCCGGGGAGCGCGGGGCGCGGCGGGGCGCGGGAGCCGGAGCCGGAGCTGTGGCCGCGGCCGCTGCTGCCGCCGCTCTGAGCCCGGGCTGCGGGAGGCGGCGGCGGCGGCGGCGGCGGCCCCGCCCCACTCGCTCCCCCGGGAGGCCCGCGGCCCAGCCCCGCACCCGTTCCGTGCCGGCAGCCCAGGGAACGCGCCCCCCTTCTCCCCCTCCCCCTCCCGTGCTCGGGGCCTCCCGGTCCCCCAGGGGTGCCTCGCCTCGGGCCCGAGCCGATTACAGCCCCGACTGAGATGGAGCCTCACGTGGACGCGCTCCGCGAACGAGAGAGGAAACTGAGGCCCGTGGAGGTCACATCGCTGTCCAAGGTCACACAGCTAGGGTGCCTTTGGCTCAGGGTGGACCCGAACAGCTGGATGGAAGGAGCTGGGATGGAAGGGAAGAGGCATTGTCGGAGGCAGGGTGGAGGTGTTTACTGTGGCCACTTGTCACCTGCCACCTCTAGCCTCTTAGGAGAGCAGAGTTGACTCCCTCTGTCCCCATTTTAAAAAATCCAGCCAGCCGGTGCCCCTGGCTCAGCCCCTGGCTGCTATTTGAGGATCAAGATTCAAGACCAACCCTGGGCAGGAAATTCTGAGACTCTTAGCTTCCAGTTAACCAGCAAAAAGCTGGGAGTCGAGCTGTGGTTCAAGTGGTAGAGTACTAGCCTTGAGCAAAAGATCTCAAGGATAGGACCAAGCCCTGAGTTCAAGCCCCAGTACTGGCATGCACACATGTGTACACATACTCGCTCTCTCTCTCTGTCACACACACACATACACACACACACACAATCTTTGCTCAAGCATTAACAGAAATCCCATCCTCTGAACCTTTGTCGTCCAGATCAAAGGTCCCAGAGGAGACCCTCACCACATTGCAATAGGAATCAAGATGGCAGTTAGGAAGGAAACCTGAGGGCCAGGTGGGAAGGGGGCTGGGTTGGAGGATGGGGGAGGACTATATTCTGTCAAAAATGTCTCTAAACCAGGCACCAGGGCCTCAGGGCCTATAATCCTTGCTACTTAGGAGACTGAGATCTGAGGATCTAGGTTCAAAGTCTGCATAGGCAGACATCTCCAATTAACTACTAAAAAGCCAGAGATGGAGCTGCAACTCAAGGGGTAGAGCACTACTAGCCTTGATCTCAGGGACACACACACACACACACACACACACACACACACACACACATCTATATATATCCTATTGTGTATTAATTTTCCATTTAAAAACTTAAAAAATCCTGGCATTTTCCACATCCATCTCCCTTTCCACAGTCCTCCCCTGACCACTATGGATTCCCAGAGCTGGAAGGGCACCCAGCAGGCTTCATATGTTCCTGCTACAGCCTGTGGCTCATAGTAAGTCCTAAGCTAAGCCTTGAATCCGAGGGAAGACTCAAACCTGGGTCTCTGAACCACCGCAGCTACCACTGTGATCTCCAGTGGTTTCTATATGACACCGCTGGCGGTGGGGAGACCAGAACATTTTTGAGGAGGCGGTGGCCCTGGGGACCCTGTCTGGCCACTGAGATCTGTGCAGTGGTCTCTGGGGACCAGTGTGCCCCTCCCTCCTCTCCACATCTACCAGATCTCATCCTCCATGCTCACCCCTTCTCAGGGAGTCAGAGATTTTTCACTCTGAACTGAGTTGTAACACAGGAGCAAAGAGAAGTCAGGCTGTGTGTGCGTGAATGGGAGCTTGTACTCACTAAGGCGATGACCTGAAAACCCGGCCCGTGCAGGAAAGAGCTTGTCGTGGACAGGAAAGCAGTTCACAGGCAGCGATGGGCTAGAATCGCGGTAGCAAAGGCAGGCAGCAGAGGCTTTAGCACTCTGGATACATCTAATGTGTCCTGAGAAGGCCTTCCCGAGGGAATGTTAGGAAATCTAGGGAAAGCCAGCAGAGGCCAAGGGAGGAAGCTGCCCACAGCTGCTGAGCCACTGGGCATCAGATGGTGCTGTGCTGTCTTTACATTAGCTGTCTGATGGGGCTGAGGACAGTTAGGTAAATGGTTGCCGAGGCTGGGGTTGAAGGTTATTTTAAGTGGTCTTGTTGTCTTCTAACATGATTGAAACACCACCCATTCATGCTGCCTGCTCTGCTCTAAGGGCAGTCTTGTCTTTGATGCTGGGTCCCAAGTCAAGTCTGCTAGCCTTGGTAGGCTAGCCTGATAGTTTGCAAGTAGGGCAAATTGCTGGCCTTTTCCAGTTCTTGATGCCCTCTGTGCCCCAGTTTTCAGATCTATAAAATGGGGACAGTAGCAGAATGTGAATTCACATGCTCTGTGTGTGTGTGCATGTGTGTACATGCACACGCGAGTGCTGCTGCGTGAACTGAGGACCTAGGCACTGTCCAAGAGTTTTTGTCACTCAAAGCTGACGCTCTGCCACTTGAGCCATACCCTCACTTCTGACTTTTTGGTGGTTAATTGGAGATAAGGACCTCATGGACTTACCTGCCTGGGCTGGCTTCCAACTGCAATCCTCAGATCTCAGCCTCCTGAGTAGCTAGCATTACAGACACAAGCTACCAGCGCCCAGCTCACTTTGCTTCTTACCATATTGGCCTCTCTGGGCTTGCAAGAGGGTTGGGAAGCTGAACACTGCCTCCCCCAGATACCCCAACCCCAACCCCACCCTACCCCCACTTCCCATGTCTTCATGCTCCTTCCATCCTTAGGGCAAAGAAAGTCTGCTGTATACAATAAGTATAGTCATTCATCCCAAAACACGGTTTTTGACTCCCTGTGTCAGGCATAGTGCCAGCCACAGAACAGGAACAAGACAAGCCCAGAGTTCATATTCTAGTCAAAGGCAGGCAGTAAGCAAATGAATAATTAAATAAACAAATCAATTTACAAGAATAGCGAGATCCACAAAGATCTCTTTTTTTTTTTTTTAAGTGAAGTGGTAGAAAGTTACAGGACTTGTGGCAGGATGGGCGCATTCAGACATTGTCAGAAAAGGCCTGAATGACCTGAGAAACCAGCCATGCAGAAGTCTGGGGAAAGGGGCTGGGAAGGTGGCTCAGTGGTAGAGTGCTTGCCTTGCATGCATGAGGCCCTGGGTTCGATTCCTCAGCACCACATAAGCAAACAGAAAAAAGCTGGAAGTGGCGCTGTGGCTCAAGTGGTAGAGCGCTAGCCTTGAGCTGAAGAGCTGAGGGACAGTGCCCAGGCCCAGAGTTCAGGCCCCATGACTGGACCCAAAAAAAAAGAAGTCTGGGGAAAGATGGAATGTTCGAGGCAAGAGGAAACAGCTAGTGTCAAGGTCCTGAGGTCAGAATGATTGTGCACTCTAGAAGCAGAGGGAGGGCTAGCAGGGCTGGAGCAAAACGTGGTCCAAGAGAAGGAGGAAGCTGGAGAAGGAAGAGGGCCTAGGCCATGGAATGCCTGGTAGCCGGGAATGCAAAGCAGGTGTGGGGAGAACCAGGTTTGATTCCAAGCCCAGCTGGAGGGACAGAAGTGTCATCACGTGCTGTATATTTTTTTAAATCCCTCTGGTAGTTGCCCAGAGACTGGATCACAAAGCGAAGGGCTGGGAGAGAAAGCAGGAGGGTCTGTTGGGAGCCACGCAGGTGAGAGGAATGAGGCGTGGAGACCACAAGAAGGAACAGGGGGAATGGACTGTGGATTTATTTCAGAGATGGCCTTTAGTCAGTTGGGTGCTTTAGCAAGTGGATATTAAGGCGAGGGTTAGAAGTGAACAGGTTGGTTGGGTGTGTCTGACTCCAATAGTTTAGCAGCTGAGTCTCCTTCAAAGACCAGGGTGTAAATGCTTGGCCCCAGGGTGGTGCTATTGGCTGGTGCTCTAGACCTTTAAGAGGAAGGGCTTGCTGGAAGGTCTTTAGGTCATTGGTGGGCGGGGGGGGGGGGGGGGGGGGGGTTTGAAGGGGATTATGGGACTTTGATCTCTGTCTGACTGCTGTGTCAGTGCTCCTGGGCAGGACCTGCTGTCCCTCACTGCTCCTGTCAGCCACAGGATGCCCCAACCCAACCGTGGACTTTGAACTTCCAGAATGGTGAGCTAGGTCACTTTTTTCCCTTGTAAGTTATCTGCCTTGGGCTAGCTCATCATAGCAATGCAAAGGTGGCTACTACAGGTGCTGAGGCTTGTGAAGGATAAAAGGGGAGGAGGCGGAATCGGGCCGGGAGAGCCTCCACCCCCAGTGCAGATCTAGCAAAGTCTTGGCCACCCCAGTAAGGTGCTCCTGGACCCAAGTCAGCCCTTGTCTGGGAGCTGCCCCAGCAGAGCCTGGCTTTGGCTCTACACTGGGAGCGAGTTGGGAAGCGGGAGGGTGTCTTCACCATGTGCAGCTGAGCGGCAGCCCGTTCCTGGACGGAGTGTGGAGTGGAGGGGGGGGGGCCCAACCCAGTGCTATCAAGGTCCAGGGAGGTTAGTGGCAGAGTCAGGATTTGAACTCAGGACACAGTGCCAACTGGCCTGGAATTTTCACATTTCAGGATGGAAATCCCTGCGTCTTGAGAAACTTGCCAGCGCTTGGCTAAACCACGGCCACTGGCCGTGCTGGTCATTCTGCAGCCCTGTCATCTTGCCACACCCACTCAGTGGACTAGAGTGGACACTGGCCATACTTGATTTCCCCTCTTCTCCCACTTCTTTGTGCCCAGGCTGGTTGCTCCTGAGGGCAGGGACCAGCTGGGACCACTCACCCTAGCGTCTCCAGGCCCGGTACCTGTGGATAGATGCTCAAAGTCCCAGTGAATGGAGCCAAGCCTCTGCTGGGTATGGCTGGAGGCAGAGGGGCCTCTTGTCCCCCAGGAGGTGGGAAATAGTGCTTGTCCGTCCCTTAGCTTTTTGGCTCAAGGCTGGCGCTCTACCACTTGAGCCACAGCTCTACTTCCCTGCATTTCCTTTTACCTCAAATTCGCCTGGAGGCTGCAGTACCCCCGACAGTGACTGTGCCCTTGCCTCGTGCTCTCTGCCACTTTCTGAGTAATCACCCACTCTCTGAGGAGTCATTCAGACTAAGTCAACACCCTCCTGCCTTCCAAGAGGGAGGCTGGGCCCAAGGGCCCGGCCTGT